GCTTGTTAATTCTGTGTATTTCGCTACAATAAGTAGCCTTCTTTTTAATATACCAAACAACGATATTTAACAACTCTTTAAGCTTGTTAATTCTGTGTATTTCGCTACAATAAGTAGCCTTCTTTTTAATATACCAAACAACGATATTTAACAACTCTTTAAGCTTGTTAATTCTGTGTATTTCGCTACAATAAGTAGCCTTCTTTTTAATATACCAAACAACGATATTTAACAACTCTTTAAGCTTGTTAATTCTGTGTATTTCGCTACAATAAGTAGCCTTCTTTTTAATATACCAAACAACGATATTTAACAACTCTTTAAGCTTGTTAATTCTATGAAAATGTGCTTTTCGCTAGAAGAACTAACATATATATATATACCAAGCAACAATATCTAACAACTCTTTAAATCTGATATCTCTGTGAAGATGAGTTTTTCTTACTAAAACAAAAATTAATATCTGAACGTTAGTTAAAGCAGTTAAGCTTTATCTTAAACGGGATGAAGTAAGGAACAGATTTGAAATTCCAATTTCTCGCCTCATCGTGTGGCCATTTTTCAATAATACGAGCCCCCCCCCCCCATCTTCAGTGGCACAGCGGCATGTCTGCGAACTTACAACGCTAGAAACCGGGTTTCGATACCCGTGGTAGGCAGAGCACAGATAGCCCATTGTACAACTTTGTTCTTAACTACAAACAAATAAATAATAAGGGGAAATTTCTAACGATAACAGTGTTGCTCTAAAGTGTCATAAAGTCGTCTTGTGCTTATACACCAATAGTGTAAAACATCGAGAAAAAATGAATTGATCTATGTAGGTAAGGCAAGTGTTAAAATAAAACGACAATTTCAACAAGTTTACACGAGTGTTTTCTATCACTAATTGGAAACAAATTTGATCATCGGTACCAGTTAAGGAAATATCAGGTATATTAAGTTACTGAGGTGTCAGGTATTTTAAGTTACTGAGGTGTCAGGTATATCAAGTTACTGAGGTGTCAGGTATTTTAAGTTACTGAGGTGTCAGGTATATCAAGTTACTGAGGTGTCAGGTATTTTAAGTTACTGAGGTGTCAGGTATATCAAGTTACTGAGATGTCAGGTATATTAAGTTACTGAGATGTCAGGTATATTAAGTTACTGAGATGTCAGGTATATTAAGTTACTGAGATGTCAGGTATATT